TATTCACATCTACGGTGATGTGGGGTGGGGGGCTAAATGGTCAGTTGAGGGCCGCTAATTCGCAAAATAAGGTTAATTAATGTGATTTTTAACTACTTGACCGTGATTTTGTAAGAGGCGTGTGCGCCCCCCCCCCTCACCCCGCACCTCTTAGATACGCCACCGTCTAAAGAACTGCTGAAATGCAAGTACAAAAAAAAGAAACACATTCTTTCGGATGAGACGCTCCAACCGTCGGTTCCGTATGCATAATGCGGCTACTATGCATGTTATTATTATTAAAAGACCAGCGTAGGCCTACACTAATCGAAAATGAGAAAGGGGATTGTCAGAAAGACCACTGGAAATAAGTATTTGGACTTATTCTTGGGGTTCACACCGATTAAATCCAACCCAGTAAAATTCATCACAAGTTCAAGTTCAAGTTCAAAAGAACATTTATTTTTCAAAAGTAATAATAATGCATATATAAATTAATAAATAACCAGCCAAGTTTAAGGGGCCAAACCCAGAAAGCGGAGCTTGTATAGGGCTGCCCTGAAATAAACACACAGAAAAACCAAAGCCAAAAAAGGACAGGCCAGGACAACAGGAGACAAGACAAACAAAGCAGACAACACGAGGATGCTCAGAAATGCAATTTTTTTTCCTTTTATAATTTTGTTACAAAAACAAAATGTAACGAGATGGTAATGGAGATCGAGAATGGGTAAAAGGAGAAAATTATGCATAACTTGACAGAAGTTTTTTTAAACTCTTTTCAAAATATTGCGATACTCGAGATTTGTTTGCCTAAACTGTGAGACTGTACCATTGTGATGCATGGGGTTCTGAGTGATGACCAATCGTATATCTGCCACTGTTTTTATGAACTATTGAGGCTTGGCTTCCGCTTCATAACCGCAGGGGAAAGGCGTATTATAAATGACCATTACCATGTGCCAGTACCAGTATACAAAAAAGGTATAGTTTAATATAAAAAGAGTTTGATCAAAAACCGAAAGGTCTACTGATTAATCTCAGATAAGGTAGTATAATAGGCATACTCCAAATATCAAAATGCACGCCATCGTGTTGGGATTCAATATTTCGACATTAATTATGTCATCATGATGACATAATTAATATCGAAATATTGAGTGTCGGGATTCAATATTTCGACATTATTTATGTCATCATGATGACATAATTAATGTCGAAATATCCAATCCCGACACGATGGCGTGCATTTCGATACTATTGGAGTATACTATCTTAATAGAGTTTGAGCAACTTAAAAATGGATCGCAGTCCTGGAAAAAGCTTCCTGGCGTTAGAATCATCCTCCGGCTAGGATGCTCCCCTGAGAGAATCCAAAAATGTATAGACGCCTACACCCAAACTCCGTTACACACTATTGGGCCTTGGGCCACATACACTGGGTTATTACAAACATGAACGTCAAGTGTACTTGAATAACTCTTCAGCATTTTTGTGTATAAAAGAGAATACAGGAAGTACAAATATCAAAGAGCATTGACGTTTTTAAAGTAAAGTTTAAAACAAGCAAAGCAATAACACAGAACTAAAGTAAGCAAAATAATCTACAATCTCGGCCTTGGTGAAAGTTATCTGTATAGGACTATGTATTTCCGTCAATGTTTTGTTATCTTTTCGTAGGCAACTAAATATAACTAAGTCGAAACTATCATGATTTGTATCGAAACCTATTTTCTCGTAATCGATAGCTTTACGTGACTATGTAGTTACGTATATTACATTTTCGAACCGCAACAGGGTAAGTAGAACACTATTTTGCTTGTTTTTTATACATTCTAATTCAGTTGTTTTTCAGTCTCCAAAATCCAAAATGCTATGTACAGAAAGAAGGTGAATTCACCCAAGGTAAAAAATATCCTGCCCAATGAACTACAAATGGCTTGATTGTGTAGTGTGTATAGACCTACTTTTCTTTATCTCTTATTTAACTTCTCTCCCACCTCTTTCTCTTACTCTTATTTGTAATCTCATAAGCCACCTCTATTTCTATGCTTTGCCGATATATCAGTGAAGCCTTCAAACAGATCAGGAAAAATCAATGAGAAATGTTTCATTTTCGCTTTCAGGACGATAGTGAACACAATGAGATTGTTAACAACATGCAGTGTAAGTATTAAAGTAAACGTTAAGGCTTTGATTATGCAGTTAAAAATATTTTAGCATCAGGTGTAGGGCGTACGTTTTCAATCGTGAGTTCGAGACCTATATGCTTTTTGTGTCATTGGTCAACACACTTTGGAAAACAGGCTTATCTTAGTTCGATTTAGGTTCTGTTAAGCTTGTTTTCCACTAGGCGAATTTATTCACGCGAATCGTAAGCATCGGTTCATGCGCATGCGCATTTACATTTCTATCGGAGTTTTTGCGAAGCGAAAAAATGTGCAACCAATCAGAGCTCAGGAAGCGAGCCGACTCTTTGATTCGCGCGAATAAATTCGATTCCTTAATTGTTCATACTTAATACTGAATTTAAAGTAACTTTCTTCGGCTTTTAATTAAGCTTGTTATACGAAAGTAATTTTTAATTACAATTCAATTTTTATCGCCGGGTGCACAATGTCTTCGCGGTGATGAAAAAATGAGATTTTTTTTTTTTGCACACGAACCTTAAAAAAAAAATTAAGCCAAGCGTCTACTAATTGAAAAATAGGTACCTAAAAGGTACATTGGCTACTGAATTTTTTTGGTTTTGTTTTGTTTTTGTTTTTTGCTTGTATGGTTTGTATATGTTTTAATGTATTCTATTTGTCAGGGTGGTGAAAGAAACATTTTCATTTGTTTTTAAAATAAATCAATTTTAATTATCAAAAATAGGCCTATTAATATTAATAACAGTGAATATGAGGAAAATCATGTATATAGTTTCAACTAAATAATAAATGTCAACTGAATAATAAAATCTAAAATTAATACAATTTTTTTAACACTTCTTTTTATTTGGAATAAAAAAAATGTCTTTAGTCTGCAAAAGCTTGAATAAGCGCTGCGGCGCTTAAAACATATTTGGAGGTTTCAGTGCGGTGCTTATTCAAGAGCGGCGCTCATAAAGAGGAATACCACCGGTGTGGCGCTTTTCATGCCCGCGTTGTTATGTTACATATCTCACATTCCCGTAGTACAATAGGCCTATCATAGGTCCAATGTCATAGTAAATAAACACTTTAATACAACAACAAAAAAGAAATACTTGTGTATTCATTGTGTTATTTATTTATCTTAACACTGTATAGGCCCTACATTGTATTTACAACCCAATTGCTTAATTACACACAAGGTAAACATATACTCTTAAGAGCCACGACGCTCTTTCGAGCATTTAGGGTAATTAAAAACTAGGCCTATATAATCTGAATCCACGATTTTGTAACAAAATAACAATAAAGGCTTTTATTTTAAATATAAATCGGTTTATTACAGAAAACGTATTTTTTAAAACTTTTTATCACTTGCAAATTGACATCTTATTGAACATTTCAAACATTTTTCCCCTGCAGTCTGGGTGTTTAATTTTGTGAATAAAATTTTCCAAAATAGTTGTCTGTAGGCCTACTGGAACACGATGGATCAATCAGCCTACATTCTGCAATATTTTTAGCCCATTTCTTGTGTTGAACTTTGGACTGGATTGGATTTATTCGGTGTAAACACCAAGGATAGCTCACGAAAGTCTAGAAGAAAACTTATTTCCAGTGGGGTCCTTCTGGTGGTGATTGGGTGGTACACCGGGAAACATTACCCTACTGTTCTTCGAAGAGTGTTCGTTCTTTAACGTGCACATGGGCAATAAATGCACACGGGGGACCAACGACTTAAACGTCTCATCCGAAAGACGGTGCGCTTGTAACTTGTATTTCAGCCCTCCAGCTGAAACACAAGGAGAGGACCTAGAGATTTCCACGGGCTTGGTTCCTGAAAGCCGTATAACCTTAGCTTTTATGGTTACGAGTTGAGTGTTAATTACGCTTGAAAACTATGGAACGCCAAAAGGACAAGCCACAAGTGGCGCAGTGCAAAACTAAAGTGGCGCAGTGCAAAACTAAAGTGTCACAGTGCGAAAGTCGAGTTGCGCAGTGCAAAACTAACAAATGGTGCAGTGCAAATCCAAATGCGTTCCATAGTAAGCAAAGAAATGTTTTGGGTTGATAAATTCTAAATTTAGAATGGTATCTCTTCCAACTGCTTTATTTTAACTTTTGAGTTTATAAGAATATTGGTACAGAAATCGCTCAGCCTCACTGGACTTTGGTTTTCAATAGTTCTGGAATTCAGTGTGATTTAAAGCAGAAAAACAGTTTCTTGAAAATTTTCTACAGTGGTTTGTAATTACATTTTGAAGTACCTGATCAGTGTTTGTTTTTTTAACTGGAGATACATTATGAATGTAGGCTTTTCATGTCTTCTTTTTTTTTTTTGCCATATTTTTCAGTTCATTAACCTGAAATGATAAAGTATAAAATGCAAAAATAATTATTGAAGGGGAAAAATTACTGAAATATGAAAATGACTATAGATTTTTTAATGAAGATTTACATACCTTAAAGGCACCCTTGCAGTATTTTCTTGGTCAATTTTCACAAATCAAATTGCAGTTTATAGAAGCACTTAACAAGCTCGCGTTCAAAGAAAATAAGATGTAACAGACATTGTGAAGTACCCAAAATTAATAAAATAAAAACTAACACCATAAAACGAATGGCACGCATAGACTAATACTTGACGGCTGTACTCGCAACTAGTATCGGATTGTCAATGCCACAGTAAAGATCAAAGGACTGTACGCACGCGCTGTTTCGAGAGCGGAGATGTGCGTCCTTCTGTTGAAGTTCCTAGCTTTCATTAGCCACACAAAAATAAGCAAATAACGTTGGGGGTTGCAGTGATGACGTCACGATTGACTTATAATTATGACTAGCGACTGAAAAAATATTATTTAAACATATTATGTTCAATTTATAATTTACAACAAAGACTACACCAAAAAATGTATAGGCCTCTATGCATGGTTTTAGTCATACGTTGCCAATCTGTGACAACATCTAACCAGGTGGCCCAAGAAGGTATTGTAGGTATAAAGACTGTCAATGGACGTTACAGCTTAGGGAGAGCTCCTGGAAATATACTGACCTGGTTATCGCAAAGTCAGTAAGGAATGATGCTAATAGAAAATTTCAATGTCAGATACTGATACAAAGCGGAAACTTAATATTTTCAGACCCTTTCCGAAATCCTTACGGCAGTGTTTGCATCCTGTTTGCATCCTGTATTGAGTACTGTATACGTAAAAATGTTTAACAGTTTTAAAAATAGTAAATTATTAAGTTGTATTTACCACATATTAATCCATGAAATTATTATTTTTTGGACAGACGTTATAAAAGTTAGGACAAACAAACCCGTAAAACCAATGACTAATTAATGGCGAGAGGTGATCGTAAAAGTAATAAAATATTTACAACTGAATTTTCAATTAAAAAGCAAACTGTACAGTATAACTGAAGTACATAAATTAATTAAACGAAATTCAGATTTTCAAGTCTTTATTTGATCTACACAGAATATTTTAAAAGTGAGATTGTAGTAAGAAAATCATGGGATTTGAACCCAGGACCTGAAATAATAGAAAACAAATACAAATTAATAACTCCACTTTTTAATTCATTTTAAATTTTACTAGGGCAAAATAATATATTAGTAGCAATATTTTACAAAGTACAAATCAACATTGTATGTTGGTGTTTTTTAAAATTTTTTATCAGAGCAGTGACACCATTTAATTTAGAGTAAAATAAACAGTATTTATACAGTATCAGTTAACATGACTGTAATGTTCATACTTGCATAACGTCGAGTATGTATTTGTTTGTTTATTAAATATTTATTAATGAAAGCATAATTTATTGTGTTTTAAACATTGTTATCATAAGGCTAGAAGAGTCAACTATAATCATCAATTCAACGTATTTTAGTTCTTTCAATTAATGTCGATCAAAGATGTGATTTTTCCCCCAATAATTTACTGAAACATGTGTACTGCAGTGATACTTATTTAGAAACCGTCACTTAATTTGTATTTAGGTTTTTAATATATTAAAGGGGCGCAGGCTTATTGAAGCCTTGGGGCATGAAAGTAAAGTATGTTAGTCACATGAGTAAACTCTAGTTTGACTGCAGGAAAAGTAAATGTTTTTATAATTTAGCATATAAATGTCCGGTATTTATAGAGAGAGTTGAATAATGTTTAGCAAATTATTTGAAATTATTCACCAATTTATTAAAAACAAGCCCGGCCACTTAGATCAATAGCAATACTTTTTCCTTTATTTGTTTATCATACAAAGTATTAATTTCTATAAATTTTCAGATCTAGACAAGCCTGTCCTTACTGTCTCAACAACTGTAAAATATTGTCTATGTAACTAAAGATTCAAGAACATTAATTGAAGTTAAAAAAAAAAATTTACAATAACACAATTACATGCTCAAAGCCGGCCAAAAAATAGTCTTAAGAATAGACATCAAACACTAAAAGGAGAATAATAACATGAAGAAATTTTAAAAGATTAAATAATAATATCGTAGTGTAAATTTGTATATTATTTCTTGTTTATTTTCAGCATCTATTCCAGTTCTTACTGTATTTGGTTTTACTTCTGTTGCTGAGTGTACCTAATGGTAAGTTGAGGCATGGAAGATATATATTAAGAATATATATTAAAATATTAATATATTTCCTCCATGGTTGAGGCAACTCTGTAGAGATTGCATATTATTTAACATATTTCTTTCGCCATCATATATTATTCATATAATAAATTTCCTGTTTATCAAGTATTCATACTCATGACAAGAACATGAAATATTGCCAGCATCTTATTTTGTATGGCCTTTTCACTTTAATGTCAGTGTAGGCCCTTTATGGCCAAGAAGGTTTTGTAAAATTTGTATGATATTGAATAAAGGTGCCTCCTTAAATTGACATGGTCATTGGTCAATTTTGGAGTCACATATTTTATTTGTAATACAAGTGGAGCAATTGTATATTTAAGTCAGTAAATAAATCCAAACCAAGTAGATAATTATAAGAATTCAAATTTGTGTTGATCATAATTTTTCCAAGACCAAAATTTCCATAAATTATAAGAATATACATCTCAATGTGGAATATAACTAAATGTTTATTAATTTTAAAGAAGTACACTTTGACATTTTTAAATCACAAAAAAAAACACCTCGATGTTTGATATTTACTGTACAGTATATATTCTTAAAATAATCTAATTCCTTCTTTTTGTTTAAGTTAAGCATTGTGCTGTAGCAAGTCTCATCCTTACTTACAATTGCATAATTATAGTAATGAATGTGTTTTTGTGTCTTTTTAAAAAGTATATAGCCAGTCAGTGGTAACATCTAATCAGGTGGCCAAAGAAGGTGATGGTGAAGTGGTGATACCATGTGACTATTCACAAGTTAATGAAACACCTTTGTCAGTCATATGGAATGAAGTAAATGAATCTGGAGAAACTAATACAAATATTATTGTAAATGATGTAATGACTGTAAATGGACGTTACAGCTTAAGAAAATCGCCTGGGAATGCTGACCTGGTTATCACAAAGCCAGTAAGGAATGATACTGAGAGAAGATTTAAATGTGAGATACTGTTACAAAGAAGAAAATTCATACAGTCAGATCCTTCCATGCTCACTGTATATTGTAAGTATTGCAGATAATATCTCAACATTTACATTCTGTATTGATTACATTTTGGTAAAACTTGTTCACAAATTTAAAAATTGTACTGTATTCGAGCAAAATAAATAACTGAATACCAAGTAAATTCAAAATAGATGTATTCATCGCATCGATAGTAGAAAATAAATTAATTAAGATCAGCTATTTCAATACTTTAAAGTTGATCATATCAATTTGTTTGGGCCATTTTGCAGTGGCGGCTCTAGGATATATTTTCTGGGGAGGCTAAGTTGTCCGACAGGGGGACTTGAGCTCATAGGCTCGAGCTGGGAGAAGGGGTTGAGAGGGGGATTCCCCCTCCCAAATGAGATTTTTTTTAAAGAATATCAACCTCTAGATGGCCGAAAATGGCACTCTCTGACTGTGACAGACATGTGTTGGCTTGGTGTGGGCCTATTTTTATATGTTTTATGGTCTGACTGCCCGACGAGCTCTGTCTGGCGGGGGGCTTGACCCGTCCGGTGGGGGGGGGGGAGGCTTAAGCCACCCCACTGGCGCCGCCACTGCCATTTTGACCACGTAACAAAACATTTTTAATACTGTGTGTGTGTGTAAAAAAAACAAATATGAGCAGATTGAGCACGCTGCACAGTGCATTGTTTGGGCGATTTTATTATCTGAAAAGGATATATAAAAATTAACTTTTTAAACGACAATCAGTAGTGAAACACTGTTGAAAATACAATCCCAATTTATGCATAATACTGTAGAAATAAGATATGTCCACTTTCAAGCATATTCATTAATAAATTTTTACAAGTATTTGATACAGCAGGTACCATTATTTCTTCAGTTCAGAAAATGGAACACACCAATTCCAGTGGTGCCACGCTGGGGCGCTGATGGGGGGGGGGGGTGGCAGAGTGCCAGGGCCCCCGGACATTATACAGTAGTTTAAAAGAATATAATAAAAACTATAATACCATAGTTTCATTCACGGCAGCCCCGACAGTTTTAAACATTGAAATTACACTGACCTGACATCATCATACAGAAACCGCATTATCTCGGGGGTCATGTAAACGATCGCTGTAGTTTTTAGTTTATGTTGCGGTTTGTCTTGTGAAGCGTTACCAGTTTGTATATATGTTATTAAACGTGTTTTGTTTCTCACTAAAATATTCTCTGTATTTATTTAAATCTACATAGAGTACATATGCCTACTATAGGCATATACCAGTTGCTCTATGGCCTATGTAACCTATGTTGGTTTTGTCATAAAATTGTCTGATATTTTCATTAGTCATGGACAATACTTTTGTTCCCTGACAACGCAGTTAACAGTTCATAAATGCCATAAGCTACTAGCGCGAAGGGGCTAAGCCCCTTCGGACCCCACCAGGGGGTCTTAACCCCTGCATCCTGACCAGGGCCCTACACACCCCTTGGCCCCAAGCATCTGTTTGTTTGCTCCGCTCGCAAATTTAACCCTCATTTCGCTCGCATATTAGGACCCCCTATAACAATGAGCGCCAGGGCCCCACAAACTGTGTGACACCACCGGCCAATTCCCTTGGCCGGCTGTGAGCCCTGGCAGTTTTTGTTCTTGAATGCCTTTTTTTTAGTTTGATAGAACTAAAAAAATGATGGAAGAAAATTTTATTCAATTATGTTAATTTTTATATAAAGCAGCACAGAAAATTAGCTTTCTGTGCTGCTTCAACCTAAGCAATCGGATTAGTGTAGGCAAAGTTATGACGTAAAAAAATAATAAGTAATTCAACCAAAAAATGACGTATGACATGGCCAAATATTTGAAAACAAATATTTTGTAAATTGTTTGCAATAGCTATATTTATAACCTTCTATAAACTGTTTTTTTACCTTATTTATTCGACCTCTAGTTGAGTTACAGGTAGCAAAATCAGAAAAAGTGCTAATGGTTAAGAGATAGGGTGATTTTCACGGCGGCACTTTTGCAATAGAGTAGACCAAACAAATTGATATGTTTGGTTAAAATCTGACTTTTAGAAGCAGTTTTTGGATATTAGTAAAGTAAAATTTTTGTTGTGATAATGACAGAATTATAGTAGTATTACTGTTGTAACAGTTTACAAAGCATAAATCAACACAATTTTATGCTGGTTTTTGGAAAAAATAAAACTTTTAAATTTAATTGAAATGCTTTACAGATCCACCTATATAATCAAATCATATTGTTAATGTGGAGCAGTAACATTGGAAATTATACAGTAGTAACAAAGTGATACATTTGATAGATCTATTTTTGTTTTTAAATTAATATCAATGAAATCACTATGTTAATGACAAGTTAAGTGTAACCTTATACTTGTACAGTATTTGTTTTAAGTATTTATTTGAACTTACTATAATTTGTATCAGACCTAGATGAGCCTGTACTGTCTGCCTCAGCAAGCAGTGTCTATGAAGGTGAATCAGTGACCTTGACCTGTAGTAAACCTGATGGTGATCCGGACCCTAGTATCACATGGTATAAAGATGGACAAGCACTCAGCACCACAGACACAACTAGATTTACTACAAGTGAAGATGCTCTTGAAATACACATTGAAGCTGCAACTGCAGCTGATGGTGGCAGGTATACGTGCAAAGCTGAAAGTGATCAATTCAGAGAAGAGGGGAAAAACAGCAATCAAATTGACTTGAAAGTAATATGTATGTGTTACTGTTTTACTATACTTTATAAGACCTGTTTTTCCCTGGTCTTTCCCAACCAGCCATTCTGTTTATATTTTTGTTTATATTGCCTCATTAAATAATTTGAATTTTGATCCTGTGTTTTTGTTTTACCTCATTCACCTGTTAGCTCAAGCTAGAATCTTGTTTTTCAATAAATTTCGTTAGTCTGATGAAGGTGCTACTATACTTAAACCATCTGTCATATTGCAATGTATTTTTAATGACTGAGATTCTCATATAATTTTTAAGTTTTTTATTTATTATGTTGTAGATAAAATTCAAATCAGTTCATGGTTCACACTTAAGTATATACCAATAAGTATATGCCAATAAGTCCACAACATTTAACCAATCGACTTCAGGGTAAATGAAAATATAAAACATCCAATTATCAAAAATGTATGGTTATTAATATAAAAACTTTAATTACTTCAACATTAATGTTTATAATAGCAAAAAAAAATCAAATTATTTCACATTATGGTTAATAATCCAATGCATTCACCTAAGTGTTTTAGTTTCAGTATGTTATCTTTTGTTCAGGTATGTGTCTAAGTATCGAAATGCACGCCATCGTGTCGGGGTTAGAATCGACGTGGCGTCCATTGCGACTTGGAGTACAGTATGTATTATACAGTACTATCTTATCTGAGATTAATCAGTGGACTTTCGGTATACGTATGTGTATACATAGACTTGCCACAAGTCTCTTATTTTTTATTATTTTTCTCATTCTGGACAGCGCCACCAACGAGAAAGTTAATTTATAGACGGAATAAGCGACTTGTAAAACACTGAAATCAGGCACCAGGATGCCTAGACTTGCCACAAGTCTCTTATTTTTTTATTATTTTTCTCATTCTGGACAGCGCCACAAACGAGAAAGTTAATTTAGAGACGGAATAAGCGACTTGCAAAACACTGAAATCAGGCACCAGGATGCCAAAAGAATGACGTAATCTTATATTCCATATTTGGATAAATGGGCGGACCGAAATAAACAATTTCAACCAATCAAATGTTCATATTTTTGGAGTCACGAGACTGAGTCACTCGCGTCGACTAGTTAGGCATGACTAAATTTAAATAGTCCTCCCAATAAAACTGGCCTAAAATATTTAGAATAGACCCTAGTAAGACTAATGTTGGCAATGGCAAAAACAATTAAGCTTAGACTAGATGGCATACCATACAAATACAACAAAACTTTAACTTTCCAGTAGGATGGCTCAGGCCTCGTCT